AATGTGCTTGCAAAGCATTTGTGATGCCCATAAATATTAAGAAAAGGGTTACAACTCAAAGGAGGCGCTATGGGCACACACAGGCAGGTGTGCCTCTTGACAGTTTGGCAAGCACCCCAAATGTGGGGAGCAGCGTTGCTTCTGAAGGGTGCGAGAGCAGCAGCAGCAGCAGCAGCAGCAAGAGGAAAGGGCTTGGAAAGACGTTCAGATGAGGAGCGAACAGCAGAGATTGGGCGCTAGGGAGGAAGGGCCCATGGAAACAGGTTGAGAAGGGGGCCAGGACAAGTGGGGAGCAAAACAGGGGTCCTGAAGGGCAGTGAAGAGCAAGAGGCAAAACGGGATGGGAAGCGAAACTGAACGGTGGCTGGGCACCTTAGCTGGGAATACAGCAGGAAGCTTTCGGCAGGGAGGGTCAGAACCACGTGCCAACAAAATAGAGTCAGGTTCAGAGAAAGCCTGCTTGGCAGGAAAGGCTGGTAGCTGCACGTCCAAAAGAACTCGTGGGGAGAGCTCTTGAGGAGACAAACCGGATGCAGGGGCCGGAAGCGAAGGCTACAACATCTCGAGGTTAAAGTGGTTGGGGACAAGTTTCTAAATCAACCATAGATGGATTTTTAATCTCCTTCAGGAGGGAAAGGGTTTAAAGGCAAGCAACATTAAGAAAGGTGGCTGGAAAAAAAATATTTCAGTGATAAAAACATTTAGTGGCTCCTATCTGAGAAGTCATCTGATTGGTTCTCATTTCAACAAAAAGCCTCCTTCCATTCAATCTGTCTGAGGGAAAGCCCTGATTCACGCTTTGAAGACCAAGGTTGCAAATCTTTACTCTCTTTGGGGGAAGCACCACTGAGCAAAGGGTAAGAAGTGTACTTTAACTGCAAAGTTAAGGCACCGCTTTTCAGGTCAGGCAAGTTATTCTTTTACAAAACTTAATACTGACATGGTTAAAAAAAACCAAAAACCCAAACCCTAATTTGTTTAAGCAAAGGCAATCTTTACCCATTCTGATGACCCCTTAATAAGACAGACATGAATGGCCAAGGGAGGGGATTTTGGTGCTGGGCCAGGGGGAAGAAAGACGGTTCCCCAACATTTCAAACAGCAGAAAGAATACAGCAAAACAAAGAGCCTGAGCTGAAAATGATGAAGGGGATGAGGATTAGGGAAGCACCAGGAGACAGGGGGCACGGTTTGGAGGCAGAAAACCTTGGAATGGGAAAGAGAGGCTGAAAATGTGAGAAAGAAGTCACCTGGGGCAGAAATGCAACAGGAAGACGAGGGGACAAGTCACATATCAGTCAAAGGGAGAGGCCGAGGGTCAAGCAAGACCTAAAATTCCTCACTCGAATCTGCGGACCAAGCTGGGTGGGCTTGGGCCAATAGGTCTCTAATCCAATTTTATCTTACAGCAGCTGTTTAGGCATTTCCAGAGGTTGCAACGTACAACGTTACGCATGCTGCTCGTTACGCATGCTGCTCGTTACGCATGCTGCTTCAGAGAAAAGCAGGAAGTAAATGTTCTCGACAGAATAAGCACAGAGAAAACGGTGCTCTCAGCCACAGAAAAACAACAACCTGGGGAGGTGGGCGAGCTGAATCTAGCTCTCCCCAATCCTCGCCTAACCTGTTAACTGATACATTTTCCCTGCAAAGTGGCCCACTGATTTCAACGGGAAAAATATTGGCTGCAGAAAGAAGGGGGGAGGCTTTGCAGCAATTGATAGTCTATCCCTGAAGTTCTCTCCCCCCCCCTCCGCAAGACCTGGCAAGGCACAGGATCTCCAGAGAACGGCAAAGGGCCCCTCAGAGCAAAGGAAGACCCTACAAGGGATGGCGGCTGCCAACCAGAGGATGTGGGATGCCCTCAAGAGCAGGGTTTCTCAACCATGGCAACTTTAAGGTAAGCAGACTTCAACTTCCAGAATTCTGGGAATTGAAGTCCACACATCTTAAACTTGCCGAGGTTGAGAAACATTGAACTTGAGAGAGAGCGTACAAGGCCACAAATCATGGTTCCTGTGCAACACGCTCACCCCAACCCAGACCACATTATGGTTCCATGCCAGGAGGCCAGTGCTCCTCAACCTTGGCAACTTTTAAGACACGTGGACTTCAACTCCCGGAATCTGGCTGGGGGACTGTGGGAGGTGAAGCCCACTTGTCTTCAAGTTGCCACGGCTGAGAAACGCTGCTCTAGAAGGAAAAGCAGAAGACAGGGAACGGGCTGAAGGGCGGTGAATGATCAGAGGGCAAAAAAGGGGAAAAAAAGAACAAAATATCCAGCGATGTCTTCCTTGATGCCAGAGGAGATGGCGGCCGATCTCCCCAGCTGAAAAAGGGATGGGGCGACGTCCAACATCTCGCCGAGGGCAGAGCCTCCATGGTCAGAAGCAGCGTGCTGCTGGACGGCATTTGGAAGGCGGCTTGGAGCT